CCCCCCAATTCCCAACCCCCCAGCATTCCCAAATCCCGCCGGATCTCCCGCGAGGAAAAGCCTATCAAAACCCGGGAACGGCCTCTCAAGCCTTGGGAAAACCGGGATTCTCCCAGGATCCTGGATCCCGGTACCCAGGCAGGCGAAGGCGGCCTGGAATGCGGAGAAGCCGATCCAGGAGACGATGGATTCCCGGGAAGGGCGCAGGATCTGGGCCTTGGAGAACACGTCCAGCACCGCGCCCTGGTACAGAGCCCGCAGGTTGGACCTGGAAAAGCAGCTGGAATGTCAGCGGGAATGGGAATATTGGGAATATCATCGGGAATGGGAATATCGGGAATAGGAATATTGGGAATAGGAATATCAGGAATGGGGATATTTGGAATAGGAATATTGGGAATGGGAATATCAGGAATACTGGGAATATCAAGAATACCAGAAATATCGGGAATGGGAATATCAAGAATGGGGATATCAGGAATGGGAATATCAAAATGGGGATATTGGGAATGGGAATCTCGGGAATAGGAATATCGGGAATGGGAATATCGGGAATGGGAATCTCGGGAATGGGGATCTTGGGAATGGGAATATTGGGAATAGGAATATTGGGAATGGGGATATCAGGAATAGGAATATCAGAAATATCGGGAATGGGAATATCGGGAATGGGGATATTGGGAATGGGAATTTGGGAATGGGCAAAGGAATGGCAGGAATGGGGCTGGGAATATTGGGAATAGGGACAGGAATCTCGGGCATGAAGCTGGGGAATTTGGGAATGGGGGCAGGAACTGTCAGGAATGAGGGTGGAAATATTGGGAATGGGGAATGGAAATATCAGGAATGGGGCCAGGAATTTGGGAATGGGGGCAGGAATTTGGGGATTTGTGGATTTGGGAATGGCACCTGTGCATGGCCAGTGTCCTGAGGAGCATGGCACAGGTCAGCAGGCAGCAGAACACCAGAGAGCTGATGTAGCAAACTGCGGAAAATCGGGAAAAAACTCCTGGATTCGGGCTCAGGAACGCCACCAGGAATGGGATTTTGGTGGGAATTGGACGGGGGATGGGCGCCCTGCCTCAGTTTCCTGCCTTTTGTTGCCATCTCCTTCGGCTCCTGAGGGACAGGGGGAGGGAAAAGCCAAATCCGGGAAAATCTTGGGATGGGATGGGATAATGGGATGGGGGTCCTGGGAAAAGGGGATTGGCAGGAAAGCGGGAGGAGGGAAGTGAACGGGATGAGAGAGGCTTGGGGATCCAGGAAAAGCCATGAAATTCCTCCCTGGAGTTGGTGGGATGCTGAAATCCCTGGAATTCCCTCATCCCTGCTGTTCCTTCATCCCCAAAATTCCCTGATCCCTGCTATTCCCTGATCCCTGAAATTCCATGATCCCTGCTATCCCTTCATCCCTGAAATTCCCTTGTTCCTGCTATCCATCCCTGGAATTCCCTGATCCCTGATATTTCTTCGTCCCTCCTATCCCTCCATCCCTGGAATTCCCTGATCCCAGCCATTCCTTCATCCCTGGAATTCCCAATCCCTGGAATTCCCGATCCCAGCCATCCCTCCATCCCTCCATCCCTGGAGTTTCCAATCCCTGGAATTCCCGATCCCAGCCATCCCTTCATCCCTGAAGTTCCCAATCCCTGGAATTCCCGATCCCAGCCATCCTTTCATCCCTGGAATTCCCAATCCTTGGAATTCCCGATCCCAGCCATCCCTCCATCCCTGCTATTCCCTCTTCCCTGCTCTCCCCTCATGCCTTCCATCCAAGGATTTCGGCTCTCCAGGGATCCGGGGCCCATCTGTTCGCTTCCCGCAGATTTCCAAGCCCGCGGCATCTGCCGCCTCTTCCCTCCAGCTCTTCCCAACGGCTTTTCCCAGAGTCTCTTCCTGCCTTGGCACGCGCCGGCCTGGCACAGCCCCAGCGCCACCAGCTGCTCCCAAAATCCCTCAGGAATTCTCCCAATCCTGTCCTCCGAGTGAGGAATTCTCCTGAAATCCCTTGGGAATTCTCCCAGTCCCAACTTCCAGGCCAGGAATCCTCCCAAAATCACCCTGGAACCTGCCCAATCCCTGCCAGCCGCTCCTAAAATCCCCCTGGAATCCGTCCCATCCCATCCTCCAGGTGAGGAATCCTCTGGAAATCCCTCTGGAATCTTCCCAATCCTGTCTTCCGAGTGAGCAATCCTCTGGAAATCCCTCTGGAATCAGCTCCATCCCATCCTCCAGGTGAGGAATCCTCCCCATGCCAGCCAGCCACTCCCAAAATCCCCCTGGAATCCTCCCAGTCCCATCTTCCAGGCCAGGAATCCTCTGGAAATCCCCCTGGAATCCTCCCAGTCCCATCCTCCAGGTGAGGAATCATCCCAAAATCTCCCTGGAATCTGCCCCATCCTGGCCAGCCACTCCCAAAATCCCTCTGGAATCTTCCCCCTCACATTTTCCAGGCCAGGAATCCTCCCAGAATCCCTCTGGAATCCTGGAAATCTTCCTGCAATCTGCTCCATCCCATCCACCAGGCCAGGAATCCTCCCAAAATTCTCCCTGGAATTCTCCCAATCCCATCCCCCAGACCACGAATCCTCTGAAATCCCTCTGGAATCCTCCCCATCCCATCCTCCATCTGAGGAATCCCAAAATCCCTCTGGAATCCCCCTCCGGAACGCCGATCCGGCGGCTCGGTCACCTTCCAACGCCCACAGGTAGTGACGGACGGTTCCCAGCTCCTTTTCCATGTCCCCTGGCACGGCCGGATTTTCCGAGGGCACCAATCCCAGCTGGACCAGCAGCACCACCACGTCCTTGGTCATTCCCGCCCGGACAATCCGGATGGTGGGCACCACGGCCAGCAGCAGCAGCAGGGCCACCTGCGGGGCCGCCCGTCAGCTCCCGTCGGCATCCCGGCATTTCCGGCCGGGATCCCGCCGGAATGTTCCCACGAGAATGTTCCCCACCTGGTAGACGGCGATGACGGCCGTGGTGACCGACACCAGCAGCTTCAGCGGGATCCGGAATCCTGCGGAAAAGCGGGATTGGGGGATGGTGGAGGGAGAGCCTGGAACGGGGTTTCCTCCTGGAATGGGAATTCCTGCCGGGACGGAGGTCTGGGAACGGATCCTGCTTTTCCATGGGAACTCAGGTGCCACCTCTGGGATGTTCCACGGCTCCTCCACGGATGGGAAGAGCTGGGAGCGGCTCCACATTCCCAGAATTTTGTCCTCTCGGTGCTGGATAATTCCCTTCTACAGCCCCCGGCTGCTCCCATCCTTCCCTGGCCAAGCTTTCCCAGGAAAACCACTCCAAACTCCCTGGAATCTTCCCCAGACCGCTCCCAGGAGCCTTTTCCATGGAAATGGGGTCTCCACGGCGTTCCCGTCACTCCCAGAACCTTTTTCCATGGATTTGTGGATCCCTGCCCCAAGCATGGCTGGATTTGGGCTCCAGCCCAGGCTGGCTGGGATGGGGCTGGGAGCAAGCTGGGATATCGGGAACAGCCTGGCTGATCCATAAATCCCAAGCCCAACCATTCCCCGATCCCATGGGATTTTCCCACGGATTTTTCCCACCTTCCTCGGGAATGTAGAAGTAGGAGCGCAGGTAGGAGCGGATCCGGGACCAGCGGCTCTCCTCGATCCCAACGGAGCTGCGGGAGGCGGGAGAGGCTGACATTCCCGACTTTCGGGAACTTTGGGATTTGCTGGGAATGGGAATGGCCGGCCTTACCTCCCCTTCCGGCCCCGCTTGGACAGCACGGCCTTGAGGTACTTCCCGTAATAACCTTTCCCAGGAATCTGGTGGGAAACAGGGAAAAACGGATGGGTCTGGGGAGACCGGGAATATCCCAACAGGAATTGCCTGGGAGGTGGAACGTGCAATGTCGGGATGGAAAAGCAGGAATATTCCGGCCCCCATTCCCTCTGGAATCCCTCGTTCCTGCCTGCCGGGGGTCACCTCGGGCCTTTCCCGGTTTTCCCTCCTCTATTCCTGACAAAGACCCAGCACCACTCCGAGTGCCAGGGATTATCCGGGAAAACGAGGAGAGCCCGGAGCCGGCCTGAACGGAGCCATTGATGGCCGGAGCCCCTTGTGGAAGGGATTTATTCCAGAGGCGGATTTCCTGCTCCCGGTGCCAGCCCCGGAATAGCAACAGAGAGCCCTCGGTGCCGGGAGGGGAACGGGCAGAGCTCCCCATCCCCATCCTGATCCCAATCCCTATCCCAAACCCAGTCCTGATCCCAGTCCCAATCCCGATCCCAAACCCAGTCCTGGTCCTGATCCCAATCCAAATCCCACTCCCAATCCCACTGCTGATCCCGATCTTGCTCCCAATCCCGATCCCAATCCCACACCCAGTCCTGGTCCTGATCCAAATCTCAATCCCAAACCCAGTTCTGGTCCTGATCCTGATCCCAATCCTGATCCCAATCCCATTCCTAATCCCGATCCCCATCCTGATCCCGATCCCCCAGGGACTGTCCCCAAATTCCTGGTGCCAATCCTGGGATATCGAAGGAGAACCCCCAGTGCTGGGGCTGGGAGGGGAACGTGCAGAGCCCGCAAACCCAATCTCAATCCCGATCCCAATCCTGATCCTGATCCTGATTCTAATCAGGCTCTCAATCCTGATCCCGATCCCAATCCCAGCCCCAATCCCCATCCCCATCCTGAACCCGATCCCGCTCCTGATCCCAAATCTCAATCCTGCTCTCGATCCCAATCCCAACCCCAGTCCTGATGCCAATCCCAGTCCCAGTCCTGATCCCCATCCCCATCCCCATCCCCATCCCCCTCCTGAACCCAATCCAGGTCCTGATCCCAGCCCTGGTCCCGATCCCACTCCCGTTCCCATGATCCCGGTTCTGATCCCGATCCTGATCCCAGTCCCAGCCCCAATCCCCATCACCATCCCAAACCAGATCCGGATCCTGATCCCAACCCCAATCCCTATCCCAGTCCCGCTCCTGCTCCCAATCCCAACCCCGCTCCTAATCCCATTCCCAGTGTCCCATTCCCAATGTCCCATTCCCACTCCCTCACTCCTGGTGTCCCATTCCCGGTGTCCCATTCCCACTCCCCCGTTCCCGGTGTCCCATTCCCGGTGTCCCATTCCCACTCCCCTGTTCCCACTCCCCGGTTCCCGCTGTCCCATTCCCGG